CGTTTAAAAACATGCGAGCAATGTGCGAAGACATCGCATATACATGTCGACCATGATAAACGAAAATACGGTTCGTTATCCTCTCTCTTTCTCTCTCATGATTGTTCTGCAAATCAAACAACTCTAACATTTTATGTAAAAAAAATATACACACACACACACACACACGCGCGCGCGCGCGCGCGCGCGCACACACACAAAACCACACACACACACACACACACACACACACACACACACACACACATATATATATATATATGTATGTATATACGCATATGTGCGTGCGTGTGCGTACGCAGTAATCGTTTGGAACATGAATTGCGGCTAGTTCTTATACTATTAAATGTATACATCTCTGTTGTCTGCTAATTGGCTTAAATACTTTGCATTTTGCGATAGCTGAATGGAGTGGACAAATTCATCCCAAGACGGTGACTCTCGAACTCGAAATAAAGCGCGCATATCGGAAAGCGAAAGGAATTCTAAGGGGAGTCCTCTCATCCTGTTCGCCGGGCTTCCTTTTTCCCAATGGGAGAGATTGTTGTTCATGCATTTTTGAAACATACTCCTCGCGTCCTGTCTTTCTTTCTCTCTTTCTCTCTCTCTCTCTCTCTCTCTCTCTCTCTCTCGCGCGCAAATAAAAAAAATTTCTATCTCGCACAGCTCGTTTATCTCGCCTCGCATGTTTAATTAGCGTCTTATACGTTCACCATTTAAAATTGCTATTTTTCCCGATTCGAGAATCGTACCCTACCGCGGCTACTCGTGAAAAAATTGTCCCTAAACTTGTTCTGGACGCCGGCGGTGTCCTTTAACTTTGCTAAAAAAAAATTCACGGTCTGCCAAGGAGAAGAGCGACTGGTAACTTTTACGCGAATCTCATTAGTGACGTTTTTACGTTGCGTCAAGTGGAAGAAATTCCGGTCGCGTTACGGAACAAGACTCGGCCGGCCTTCGGTATTTTCTCGTACATACAGCACATCTTCGAAGATCAGTTTTTAAGAAGATTTATGCGGTCGGTAGAAAGAGGAAAACGATTTCGAACATCTTGATTGATTTTCTCTTTTAACTGATTTCAGCCCAGGTAGAGGATATTATTTGTCATTGAGGTAAAAATAACGTTTTTAAAGTCATTTTGACGTCAAAACGACGACAAATAACGTTAGCTCGATACCTGGAGATAAACAGTTTTCCTAGTGTTAGTATAAGAACACCAAACAACTACATTGGTGCATTAGGTTCATCTACAGATCTTTATCTCTGGATCGCATCTTGATAGAAAGTATATCTCGAGAATGCCAAGCAGTTGTCGACAACAATAGTCGTTAATTGATAATTATGACTTAACTCCAGCGTACATGTGTATTTTTATCGTCTCATGTGCAGAGAACAGTTTAAAAGAAAGTACGCGCCAGTCACGCGTTCTTTCTTGGCAGGCTGTGCGTCGTTAACCGATTAATCACATTACTACAGATAAACGATAATAATAATAATCATCCAGTTAAAATCAACAATCGTCGAAAGGAGAACGATGCGCTTCGATGCATTATCAAACATGGCGCTGTGCCCAAGAGTCCATCGTGGGTCGGATAGCATTACCTCTCTCCGACGAGGAGAAGATCGGTACCGAGTGCCTTCATTCGAGCCATCCCGATGTAAGATATTGTTTCACACATAGTCATCCTGTTGACGTGCTATCGTCATCATGCTGGAGCACAATCGGCGAAATGATTCGAGTTCCCGGAATAAAAAGTAAGTCCGAATGTATAGAAGTTTCCGAATAGCGTAGTCTCTCTGAGAATATTGTGAACACCGTTATTTGCGGGACTAGTGAGCACAGCGTGTAACAAGATGAAGTCGGAAGAGGGCACACGATATATATATATATATATA